AAAAAAAAAAAAAAAAAAAAAAAAAAAAAAAAAAAAAAAAAAAGAGTGTTCATAGCACTATCATAATGCAAAAACCTAGAAATAACCCATATGGAGAAAGGATGGATCAACTGTGATCCAGCTGTACAGTGAGTTCTTCTCAGCAGTTAATCTAACGAACTGTGACAACATGGATGAATCTCAGACACGTGCATCGTGAACCTTACTAACATAGTGTCTAATGAAGAATTCCCAAAAGATTACACAGTTTCCTTCTACAAAGTTAAAAATCAAAATATACTTATATAATTTTGACTAATGCATACATAGATGAGCTAAAAATATATAAAAAGGAAATTGAGGTAAAGATGAAACAAGATTCAGCATGGTGGTTTCCTTGGGTGGGGGATGGGACAGAGAAGAACCATATGTGCAGATGTGAAGTTATGATGATGATTCTAGTTTTTTCTTGGGTGGTAGGATCATGGGTGTGGACTACTACAGACAGATGGACAGAGAGATAGGCTAGACAGATGACCAGGACTATCCATGGACCAATGACGAGAGTAAGTTATTTGTTATGATCACAACTAGTCCAATTTTAGGTACCTGATGTCCAGGAAAAAAACAAAAAAAAGCAATTTTAAGAGCTTAGCAAAAGAAATAAATTGCAGATTAAGAATTTAAAAATATACTGAAAAGCATTCATAAAGGACAATAGTACATTAAGGAGGATACATCAAGTTTTATCCTTTAGGGACAGTGAAAGGAAATGAAAATATATTTTTCAACCTTAATCAGAATGTTAAAAGTTTGACCTCACCTCCTCTTGAATATACTGTAATAAGAAGGGAGATGCTCTTAAATTATCAACAGGAATATTGAAGAAGCCCTGAATTTCCTTCTGGTGTAAATCCATAGTAATAAGATGAGTCAGACCTTTGAAAATAAAGCCGACATAAGCACATAGTTTAAAAACAAGTCATGCTGTATGAAATGAGTACTATATACTTATATAATAAATTACTGTTAAAAATTGCTCTCCCATCAAAAAAAAAAAAAAATCTTAGCACCTTCATTTTTCAGTTTTAGTACTATAAGATGCATGATTTTCATCTTAATTCAAAGTCTCAAAATAGCAAAGATGATATGTATACAGAAATGTCTCTAAAATCCTATTAGAGCAGATTATATCTCCTTGAAGTTTCCTTAGTGGGTATGGCAAAACCCAATTTTAAGATACAGAAGTCTGGCCAGTTAGCTCAGCTGGTTAGAGCATGGTGCTGATAACACCAAAGTCGAGGGCTCTATCCCTGTAACAGCCAGCTGCCAAAAGAGGGGGGGAAAAAAAATATATATATATATATGTATGTATAAAGACAAATTGTACTAGCCCGGAAATTGGAGAAAATGAAGAACCTCCACTCCCATTGCATCCTTAAATGATATTTGAAACGATCACCAGAAAAGGGTAAAGAAAATTCATTACGAAAAATTTTAGAAAGCAATACTTGCCCAGAAGAGCAAGAAAGTGAGCCCGATGGCCCATCCAGTAGCAAGGCTGGGAGAAAGGGCAGAACCCTTCCAGAAGACTCAATGAGCCAGCCTGCTCCCTTCACGAGCTGCCTGTCACAGTGTTTTCAACTGGAAATACTGGTGAGGTTGCTGGGGGTTGGGTTTTTCAAAATTTTGTTTTGTTTTTGCCTACTTTGGAATGCTACATTAGAAAATTTATTCTACAGTAAGTATCTGTGTTAAAATGCAGTGATGTGAGGACTTTTTATTCTTTCCTCTATTTGCAATGCTCTGTGATATGTACTTCTATAATTATATACACACACATACAAGTTCGCACACATACACAGATACACATACACAATAACAACTATAAAGATTACTTAAAAACAAGGAGAATAGTTTTAGGATGCTACCTGAAAGTGCATAATACTAATAATATTAAGGGGTCTTCAAAAAGTTCATGGCAAGATTCATATGATCTTTTAATTCTATTTTTTCCACAAACTTTTTGACATATCCTCCTATATATGGTTAACAAAATATGCCTATCTGTCCCAAGAAAGTGAAGAGGCTAAAATAAAAATAGTTGCTGTGTTAACAGTTCAGCAGTAGGGTTAAGAATGACTTTTCCCCTTTCATAACAACTTTAATATGATTGTAAATTGTCATTTCAATGTAATTTTTAAATAAAGAATTTAGGAAAAAATGGAAAACATAAGTCATTCTCATTACCTCTGTGTTGTAGGGAGTTAGTTGTCTTTAAAAGGTGCAGCACTGTTTTCACTCTGCTCAACATTCTGATTTAGTTAAGTAAAGGCTTTGCTATGTCCAAGGTAAAAATAAAACTCCCAGGTTCCCAACTGTCACATCGCCATTCTTTCTTACCAGCTTTGCACATCATGGAGGCCAGCAATTTAGAGACAATGGAGCCTCTTTTTCTCATCTTGCACTGCTTGCTATAAGGAAAGTAAGGGATCACGCCAATAATGCTCTTGGCACAAGAGGTCTTACAGGCATACACCATAATCAGGAGCTCCATGATGGTGGTGTTCACATCCCTGAAACCAAGACACAGAAAATCCCATCAAGGAACAGATAAGATACTTAATGATGTTTCCCTGTTCCAATGAAGTGTCAGCAGTATGCCACTCATGCCTCTGTCAACACTTAAGGCACAAGACACACAAAAAAAATAAAAAACAAAACAAAAACAATAAATTCTTCTCTTCTCAGGCCTCCATTAGCTCCCCCCACTTTCCCTCTCAGCTGATGTCTCTACCTTCTTTTTCACCAGGAAAAGTACACCATCAGAAGACAGCTTCCGCCTCTGCATCTACACCCTGCAAATCGGCCCACCCCCAGTCATCAGTCAGAGACGCCAAAAGTTACCCTAAAGTTAATCCCTCCAAATCACAAACTAATCCCCACCCCCTCTCACCCACTGAAGACACTGCTCCAATAATCCTCCCTCTCCACCTCCACCATCAATTTGATACTCCCTGGCTGATACCTAACAGAATACAAACACCTGTCACCTCTTCTGTTAATGATGACTTGCAACCACTCTCCCTATGCCCCGTTTCTTTGCTCCCCTTTGTAGTACACCTCAAGAAAGCTGTCTACACTTGTCTCTAATTCATCTACACTCATCATCTCCCCAACACATTCCAATGAAGCCTTTGTCCTCAAAACACCACCAAAGCTGTTCTCATCGAGGTCATCAGTGGCCTCCACATGGGTAAATCCACCACTCAATTCTCAGTCCTTCTCCTTCTTCAGCAGCATTTGACGCAGGTACTCACCCCTGATCCCTGATACACTCTGTTCACTTGGCTTCCAGGGTGTCCCTCTCTGGTCTCCTGTCTCCCTTGGCTTCTTTAGTTTGTCCCTATTCTCCCCAACCTCCTGCCCTAAAACTTGTTCACTTGTCCTCTTCTCCCTCTGTCTCTCCACATCCCTTAGGCTTCTCAACCAACTTCACGGCTTTACAAATGCTGGTGACTCTCAAATTTATATTTCCAGTCCAAGCTTCTCGTCTGAATGCCAATCTAACAATCTAATTCAACTGCTACTTGACAAGACCACTCAAATGTCTGTTAAGATGTCTCAAAACTTAACATACCCCAAACTGAACTGCTCCTACCCCTCAAAAGCCTGCTTCACCAGAAAACCTTTGCCATCTCAGTTGACGTCAACACTCTTCCTCCACTTTTCTCAGTACAAAAGCCTTAGAGCTATCCTTGACCTCTCTTATCCATAAAGTTTCCAGGTCTCGCCACAGCACTGCTGTGCCTGGGGCTGAGCCATGTTTCCCGCACCACGAGGTGACTGTGCTGGCCTGCTGCGCAGGGCTCCCGCTCCTCCTGCCATCCCCTACAGTGCAGCAGCTCCATGCAGAGCCAGCTTGACCTTGAAGTGGAAGATCTGACTTTTTCCAAAGCAAAAGCGTAAGGCCTCACAATGACTCCTGGGCCCTTCATGATCTGTCCCACCCACCCCAACACCCCCGTCCTGCTCCACATCCCTCTCAGCCTGCTACATGTGACCCTGGTCAGCCCTCCTATAGTGGATTGAATTATGTCTCCCCAAAACTCATTGGAGCTTGAACTGTTCCCCAAGTTTTATGTATTGGAAACTTAGCCCCCACTGTGACTGTTAAGAGGGTGGGAAATCCTATTATGGTAGTTGAAAGGTGGAGCCTTGAAGAGGTGAATGGATTAAAAATGTGGTCAGGGGCATGGTTCTGAGGCATTTAAAGAACAGGAGAGTCTGTCTCTCTCTCTCTCTCTCTGCTCTCTCTGCTTCCACCATCTTGCAATGTGAGACCCCTGAGTCACTGTCGCCACCACCACATGGACTTTGGACTTCCTAGCCTCAAAAACTACAAGCAATAAATTTCATTTTCTTTATAAATCACCCAGTTCCGTGTATTCTGTTATAAGCAACAGAAACGGACTAATACAATATTAATGAGAAATACCTGTTTTATGACATGGGAATGGAGTGAGGTAATAAATATGTAAGTTTTCTGAGTTCCTACGGCACATATGGAACAATACAAAATGAGACACAGAAAGGAAATTAAGGGGATGCCAAGTGGTTTTGACTAGAAGAATAAAAAACTAATAAAAGGTAGGAGCTGATAAAAGTATTGAAACAAAAAAAAAAAAAAAAAAAAAAAAAAAACTCAGCAGTATAAAAAAAAAAAAAAAAAAAAAACCCATTGTGTATTCTTGGAAACATTGAAGGAATCACCCTTCTCAAGTCCTGAATTTTAAGTCCAACAGGGCCTTTAGTGCCTACTTATTCCCTTGGCAATCCACGCAACCTCTGTCCATTTATTCAATGGAATCACACCTGTCTCTGCGGAAACAAAAGTACTGCAGACACCCAGGAGTACAAGCAGCCTAGGTTGTTCTGTGCCTGCACCTTCCCTTCCTGATGCTGGAGGTGAAGGGTGAGGTACGGGCACAGGCGAGTCCTCCACGAGCACCCTGGCCTTGTGGCAGGCCTGGGAAAGAGGAGGACAGCAGCATGCAGTGCCCCTGTGCCCAGTTCTCCTGAGGATCCCAAGTGTCACTGCGGAAAGTAAAGCCAGGGCACCATGGCAAAGGCCAGCCACACCCTTCCTCTTTCATGGCACACATACTCTCCAGAGGGACAGGATGCAATGACAGGCTCCTGCTACCTCCTCAAAGGGTTTTGTGATTTCATCCTGATGACTGAAGACCAGGAGAAACATGTCCAAATTTAGGTGAAAATATGTGCGTTCCAAGACTAAATTACCCTGAAATTTGGCTCTTCTTCCCTTTCTTATAGAGATATATATAAACACAAATTCAGCATGTTTATATACAAATTCAGCAGACAGCTATTTGCAGACTTTCAGAGCTAAAAACTGATGCACTATACAAACTAATTTGTAGACATTATTAAAAATCTCTGAAGAATTTTCATACACAAAGAGGCATCTGGAGACAGCTGTGGACAACGCACAATGGAAATCAGGGTTTCCCTTCCAGGGTGGCACCTGATTGAAAAGTAGTGCAGACAGTCTCACTGCACTTAATCTTCCACACTCAGCTTACACACTTGTGACCACAAAATTCCCAGAATACATGTATGTCAAATGTCACACCAGACAGGAATAACACATTCCTTCAGTACAGTATTTTATCTCCTCAGCTCATTTAATTTATGCAACAAAACAATAAATGGTGACCACTTTTAATTCATCTGCAATAAAAGCTTTAGAACCCCAACTAAGAAAACTCCCCTCCCCCAGCCTTCTTTTTTGGAGGGGGAGAGACTAAAGTGCTACTGGGCAAATTTTACAAAATTCTGGCTATTGTTAGGAAACATAATGGGTTCTCCTATCTCTAAGACCCTCTACTCCAATACCTGGGTATTTCCACCCATCAAGAACACGGAAAGTGGGAAAGGGGCACTGGGTAAGGGACACAAAGAGTAATTATAATTCGTAATGATGAACATGCTAATAATATTGGTTTGACCACATGCTGTACATAAATACTTATAGTTAACTCTGTACTCCATAAATATGTATAATCATAAATAAATGAATAAATATGTAAAAGAAAATGGTACATCATTAAAAAAAAAAAAACACATACTAGTCAGCAGTTATGTCAGAAAAACCAGCTAAGATATACCAATTTTAAGACTATTACAAATCTTCCTGTTGAGTCAACTCTTATTATTCTAAATACTCATGCCCAAACAGAAACCCAAAAAGCAACATTTCTGCTAGACAACTACTCACTTTGAAACTGTTTGGATGATGAAAACATCTTTTCCTCTCACGGACTCTTGAATTTGTACTCTTGTTTCTGGAAGGAAAAGGAAAAGCAGGGAGAGGAAGGCATACTGTTCAAATTTTTTAAAATACATAAAAAAATCTACATTATTCCTCAATGTTACAAAATATGGAAACTGAAACTTACAAAACTCAGTAGCCTTCCAATGTTGATGAATGATAAACATACTGCCATTAATTGCACTTTTTAAACACATTCAGTCACATGAAGGCCTTAAGATGGAATTACACTCTGACTTCAAATAAGTAAATCTACACTTCTCACACTCACATACATAAGCAGTGAGTGCCGCACCACTCTGAGCACAGTATCTTTACAGAAAATTATGTGCTCATTCATTTCATCAGCATCAACTGAGAACTTATTAGGCAAAAAATGTTTTATGTTGTGAGAGCAAAGACAAAACCCAATATCTTTACTATCAAAAAATTTGTGACCAGCTACAAGAATACAATTGCACAAATCCAAGATGGGACATTCTATAGGACAACCTCTTCAATAGTCAATGTCATAGGAAGAGAAAAGAACAGGTGAGAGGACTGTTCTAGATCAGAAGAGACTAAAAAGATATTAAGAAAATATTACTTGAACTAAGAATCTTGATTTGGGGCCGGCCCAGTGGCGCACTGGAGAGTGCGCTGCTTGGGAGCGCGGCGGCGCTCCCGCCGAGGGTTCGGATCCCACGTGGAGACCGGTTCCCGCTCACTGGCCAAACGCGGTGCGGACGCAACACCGAGGGTTGCGATCCCGTTGCCGGTCCCCAGTACGGGCGCGA